CCCCCCCCCCACACACTTTTTACCAATGGTCAATAATAAACCACAAAGTTAATTGATATTATTTCAGTTATGCGTGTAGACAAAACAATTTGAGATATTTTATGACATTTTGTTATCTTGTAAATCTCCTTATAAAGTGCAAGAAATGGCATTTCAGAGAATCTAGTTTCGCTCCTGAGTCCTGCCTTGAATGATCCACTATTGTTGAATATAACGTGCGGAAAATTACGCGGAAATGCCGCTATATAAATGACTGAAGTGATTTATACACAATACGAGCCCGCGATACATGGCATGAGTGGATTGCAGTTGGATAAAAAAGTTGAAAATAAAAAGTTGTGTTGAAGACAAAAAGTTGTGTTGAAAACAAAAAGTTGTATTGAAAATAAAAAGTTGTTTTGAAAACAAAAAGTTGTGTTGAAAACAAAAAGTTGTGTTGGAAATAAGAAATCATACAGTGAAAATGATGTTGCAAACTAAAAGTTGTGTTGAATATTACATGTTGTGTACAAAAAGTTGTGTTGCAAACAAAAAGTTGTGATGAAAATAAAAAGTTGATTTTTGGCGGGGATGGGACACCATAGTACTATGCATATTTGGTGCACTAACTGAATGTCAAATATAATCATTTGTACCTTCACAAGTTCATATTATGTTCCCAAGCCTCCAAGTTCCTGCAGTCCTACCATATCTCGTTGTTGTAATCAGAGAGGATGGGGAGTTGGAGTTTAGTTTTTTTTTGTGGGGATGAATGGATATTTCCTGGAATGACCCATTTTGTTAAATAAAGGATTTTCATATTTTGTTCAATTGAAGGTTTGTATTGAAAATAATTTACCCAACCATAGGCTTTGTTCAAAAAATATTTACCCAACCCTTCATACCTCAGAAAAATGGCTTACCCAACCCATTTCTCTTCGGTACCAACCCCGGGTATAAATAATGAACACTCCCTAACCAGAATGTGTACATCATGCCACTTTTATCAACTATACAACGCCAATATGTACAATCCCATTAACGTATGTTACAAATACAAATTTACATTATTAAAATTGTTAACAGCTTTGTTCTATTACAAATCTACCAAACTACAAAATTCAATTACCATGCTATCAATAAATTTGATGACTTATAATATAATATCAGTGTATCTTACACAGTCGTTCTGGCATGTTGAAAGCTATTTTCATCTATAAGACTATATATAAACAACAATTAAAGGCAGGGACGCCGGAACGATAAAAAGGCAAAGGGGGGCAGATACACACCAAAGGCACCCCTATAGATCAAAAGTTCAAAATCTACCTGAAAAATTATTTTTTACATGAAAATTTTTTTGGGCGACCTCCCCCCCTCCCGTCGTCAAAAAATTTCGGTCAGTGTACCATTTTAGGGGTCAAAAAATTTTTCCGGACATACCAAAATTTTCCGTGACGTAAAAAAATTTTTCCGCACATCAGCAATTTTCACCATTTATCCAAAATATTTTTCTAAAATCCAAAAATTTTCTAAAATTTTTGTAAATTAACCTCATTCTTTTCCAAATTCACACTTATTTTTGTAAATTAACTTTCTCTGGGCCTATAAATTACCTGAATCTCATTATTTTGCCCGAAAAAGCATCACTGGAAATGTGATTTATCAGGTAGTATTTTACAACTAAAAGGGCACTTCTGCCCCCCTTGCCCCCCCTAGCAAAAGGCAAGAGGGGCAGCTGCCCCCCCCCAGTTCCGGCGTCCCTGATTAAAGGAAATCATAGCCAATTTCATATCTCCGCCTGTACGGGTCGGAACCACTTTAAATACAGTTAGTTCTTCGTAGTTTAATAATAATTTATTAATTTGTACAGAGTCAAGATCCTGCCTCTTACCCAGGCGCTTTGTTTTGCTACGCTGTCGCACGACACACACGCGGGACGACACGCGTGGGAGAAAATGACCACGAAATCACAGACAAGAGATATACAGAGAGGAAACACGCGGCAAATTATGTCACGCCGATATATAGAGGATATTTCACGGCGGCGCGGAGATATGACTTTTTATCTTTGAGTGGTGAAAAAAATATTTTACGAACGAGCGCAGCGAGTGAGTAAAATATTGTTTTTAACACGAGAAGATAAAAGTCATATCTTCAAGCCAACGTGTAATGTTCTGTTTATTAATAATGATAATGTCCGAAGCAAAAAATTGTATAAATACTAAAAGTCACGTGATCGATATCCTTACTAGTCAAGATATGGAAAATATGTCACTGCGTATTTATCAGTATCTCACTCTCTACTATATAATAAATTCAGTCTATTAATAACTATAGAAAATTATATTAATTCACTATTTTATAAAATTTTGACAATGCAGAGGAAAAAACTATACATATTATAGAAGTATTTGTGGTTTTTTTATGCAAGAATTATATTTTGAGGCATTTATATCATTCGCTGCTTTGTTTTTTATACATGAGCATCTGAAAATCCCAGCCAGTGCTTTTCACGATCTTAATAAGGAGTAGATAGGGAAAAATTATTATCCCCGAGCCGAAGTCTAAAGTTCATCAATCATCGCGGACGTGGGTCACCAACGGTGTTCAAGTGTTGGGTGTGTGGTCATCCTCACTGATCTCAAAAATATGGCGGACTGTCATGAATAGCGGCAATATTTTAATTTTGGAATAGGTAACAGGACCTCTACATGCGTCTTGGACCTGTTTGCTTGTAATCATTATTTATCTAATGGATTTCTTTTATATTCAACGGGGTCTTGAAAGTAGACCATGCCGCAAAATATTGTATAAAAGGTGCACGCGTATTATGCGTGCGTTGTTTTGTGTCTTTTTATGTCAATCCGTTGTAGAAATATCGTAATTGAAGTTAGCATGTACTGTATGTAAAGTTATTACTTGGTAATTGATAGGTGTAATTTGATGATGCACATGAATTTATCACAGGGTCGGATTTGACCATACTGCGATATTACAAATTTAGAATTTGTAACAAGACTTGTGATTTTGTGTTGTGTAATTTTCCTGTATCTCATTTGAATAAATGGTTTTTTTAAATTTATCTTATCAGGGTCTGGAAAGTAGACCATGCATTGAGAAATTGCAAACCTAATCCTTGCTTTATACTGTGTACTGTTTCCGTAATCTGTCCATCATATGTAGTTAAGTCTGTGTGAGGATTGTAGGTTTATTCCTTAGTATTTAAGTATATACATGCAGTTAGATTATGTACATACTCACAGGGTCTTGAAAGCAAACCATGCCGTGAAATATGTAATGAAGCCATAGGCGTACGGGACGGGGGGGGGGGCAGCTGCCCCCCAAAAAGATTACAAAGTCGAAAAGTCGGGCAAATGTTCAACAAAAGTCGGGCAAAAAGTAGTCAAAGCAGTAGAATCTCTCTTAATAATAACCCCAGTTTGTTGGGCAGAAAAAGCCAGTTGGGCAATATTCGCTTCACAGTCGGGCAATATTGGGTTACTATAAAAATAAATGGGACAAATTCTGTCAATTTTGCCGGAAATTATGTCAATTTTGTGATGTTTGGGAAAATTTGTTTGATGTTCCGAAAAATTTTGGTATGTTCGAAAAATTTTTGGACCCCTAAAATGGTACACTGACCGAAATTTTTTTGGCGACGGGGGGGGGAGGTCGCCAAAATTAATTGTTCCGGGAAAAAAACTTTTCGGCACTGGTCGGGCACAATCGGAAAAAGTCGGGCAAATTTCTTTCCGCCCCCCTAATTTTTTCCTTCCGGTACGCCCATGAATGAAGCCTATGGTTTGTGTGATGTATCTAACTATTGATAGGTAGAATAGGTAGATGTTGTACAATCTACCAAAATTGCGGCTTATAGAATCGGGCAGAACATTTAGTTATGCCAAAAGGGTAAACCTAATTAGATGCCCTAGACTAATAATCCCATATGTTTTACAAAACACAAAAAACGTGGTGCCCAGGGTCTGGCAAAAAGTTTTTTGACTGCACAGTATGGCAGTCATAACGTAGTATATACTATATGGATTAATACTTTTAAATAATATATATAATAAGGATTGATTGTCCAAAGCAGTTCGAAGCAGTCCGAGCCAGTTTCGCGTTTCAACGTGGTATGATATTGGGTCAATATCATTAGAAATGACTGTAAAGAAAGGCGAACATGGGTCGAACGGCATGTATAGAATGGCTTTGGACAAACCATCCCATTGGTTCAACAAAAAATAAAATATAACATCAGGGAGATAGATGGATGGTATTGGAGAGATGTTGTGATTTTTATTTATATTATATATATTATATAAGTAACAAATCAGGATTAGAAACAGCATTGGCTACCAAGAATACTTTTAAATTTATTAATCGTTATGCCCTGTTCTTTTGCTGAAATTGGCAAGCTATTCCATAGTAAAGCCCCAGAGTAGCTAATACTTTTTTTCAAAAAATTGGTTTTAGGCTTAGGAATATGGAAATTACTTCGCAAATTATGAAATTCATTGTTACTAATTTCAAAAATATCTGTCATAGGCTCATTTAGATTATTGTTTTTCACATTATACATGAACGTTACCTTTTTGAATTTCATTCGTTCTGCCAGTGGCCGCCAACCAAGTTCTGATAAAATCTCACACGATCTAATCTCATACGATTTGCCTGAAATGACCCTTGCAGCCCTTTCTGTAATTTTTGTAAATTTCCAATTAGATAATTACTGCATGTATCCCAGACAAGGCTACAATAGTCAAAATGAGGCAGAATTAGGGCATTGTAGACATGCATTAAAGTAAATTTCGGTACGTAAGGTTTCAATCGTCTCAACATACCGATTCCTTTTGAAACCTTGGCAATTGTAGCGTCGACATGATTTTTCCAAAGAAGCTGGCCATCTATACCACAACCCCCAAGGTTGTTATTTCACTTACTCTGTTAATTTCTGTATCGCCTAATCTAATCTAATTGTAGGAGTTTGGATATCATTTAAACGTTGTCTAGAGCCTATCAACATATATTCAGTTTTTTCGATATTTAAAGTTAATTTATTGGCAAGCAACCACCGGTGAACTTTTTCTAGATCCTCATTCAATTGACTTTGAACAACTTCGGCAGATATACCGCTAGTTGTTAAATTTGTATCATCGGCAAACAGACTTGCGTTCGAGAAAGATAGACAGTTTTAGGGAGGTCATTTACATAAATAAGAAAAAGTAATGGGTCCAAGTTAGACCCCTGAGGAATTCCACAAGTAATAACAGCCGGGGAGGACACTGTTTGAGCAATTTTACACATTTGAGTAATTGAGTACGATTTGTAAGATAAGATCGAAACCAATCTAATGTCAGTCCAATGCGTCCGTAAAGAATTAACTTTTTTAACAAAATTTCATGGTCTACGCAGTCAAAAGCTTTCTTTAAATCAAGGAATTTTACCCCGTTTAAATATGCTCGATCCATGTTTATCAACCATTTATTAGTTACATCCAGCATGCTGTTTCCGTTGAAAATTTTTTCCTGAAACCAGATTGCTGGGAGGCAAGTATTGCATTATTTTCCAAATACTCGTACAATTGCATTGATATTAGTTTCTCGAATATTTTGGCAACAGTTGACAGAACTGAAATAGGTCTATAGTTGCTACATTCTGTCTTGTTTCCACTTTTATATAATGGAGATATTATTGCAAATTTTAAACCATTTGGAAAAATACCTGTATTAATTGACTGGTTAAAAATATCTGTATTAATTGACTGGTTAAAAATATGAGTTAAAATTGGAGCAATAACTACTGCCGAATCTTATTTTATTTATTTTATTTATTTATTATTTTCCCCTATGTACAGATTTTAATAATTACAAAACAACTTTCTTCTAATGATATTGGGCTAGGGACCTACTAGAAACCTTTACAGGCTTTTTGGTTTAGGCCCCTAGTTGTAGTTGTGGTTCATAATGAGGTTAATTAATATATTTACAGTTAAAGATAATGAAAAAAGTAATTTTTAGAATATATGCTATTTACAAAACCCCCCAAAATACGAATCATCTGGATTGGCAGGGCAATCAAAGATTGTAAATGAGTTATCAAGTAACTTACAAGGTTTTCAGATGAAATTTATGGAATTCATAGACCTGAATTTTATAGATATTGGTCCAAGAGGGTTTCACTCATGTTTTAACGGAATTTATATTCAATGTTTTAACGAAATTTATATGGAAAAAATTGTTTTGAACCTTAATTGAACTGGTTTATGTCCGGTAAAATTTTTTGACCATCTTTTTTAATGTCCGAGAAAATTTTTCACACACACCACCCCGCTCGCCAACATTTTTGGGGAAAATATTGTGTCAGAAATAAAAATTTGCAGCAGGGCATCATCGGTTTTGGCAGAGCAATTCTGGCAGACACCCCCCGAATTAAGAGGGGCTAGTTTCGCCCCTGTCTGTATATCTCTTCTCTGTGACAAAATCAATCAAGTTATCCACGCGGCCCACGCAAAAAGACAACGCAAGCCATAGCGGCCACATAATTGCGCCTGGGTACAAGGCTGGTCGCGTTTATTTAGCAAAGTTTTCAATATCTGTTAGATTATCAAATATGTTCTATATATTATCATCGATCATTTTGACATTACACATTTCAAGTAAGTTTTTCTGTTAAAGGGAAATAGCAATATAAATTTTTATTTTCTCATTTGAAAGAACTTTTGAAACTATATTTCAAAAACTCATTAATAATTCATGAAGCAATTATCCAATCTTGAGTAAGAAATTAGTCACGTGCATACGTCTTTATACCAGCTAAAGAACACTTTAACAAAAGACCATTGTTATGCAAACTGTATAAAGATTTTTATATAAAGATTTTTATATAAAGATTTTTATATAAAGATTTTTGTATAAAGATTTGACTTATTATGCAAACGTTTTTGAAGCCATTTAAAAACTCGCAGGTCGTGTTTTATTAGGTCTAAAGCCACTCGCGCTGCACGCTCGTGGCTTTAAACCTAATAAAACACTCCTGCTCGTTTTTTAAATAGTACATTAACTTCTTTTACCGGTTTTTCATATCTTGCTTAGTTCTTAAAATATTTCCACGTGAAGTAATGAGATGTCCACCATCTTGGATAATTTTTTTATCTCATTAACGGTAGCTTTGGTGACATCACAACAGGGATTAACCATATAAAAGTGTTCGTTCCTGACCAAATATTGATTGGTAGATGTTTTAAAGGTTCTGAGTGATCTTGATATTTTGAAGGGCAAACAAAGTATAGTTTTGAGTACAAAATGATTAGTGTTTGCCTAGATAAAAATATTGCGGACCCCTGTTGTGACGTGACTGTATATCTACAAAAATTGAAGATGGTGAAAATTGAAGATGGATCAAGATATGAAAAAATGGGAAAAGAGTATTACATATAATCTTAAAAGTTCTTTTAAATGAGAAAACAAAAAAATATGTTGCCATTTCCTTTAAGATACGAATATTCCAAAGTTGATGAGAGTTGCAACTCGCTCGCGTTTTGACCGCCTACTCTCCTCAACTCTCATTAACTTTGAACCGTTTAAAATTTTGATTTTTAAAATTTTCTCCACGCGGGTGGCAATATCCATGCAACTCTTGTCCTTGTTTCCCGGGGCATGAGAGTTCTTAAGAAATAGTAGACCACATCTATACGTACCAACATAGGAATCCCAATAACTATAGTTGTAACAAATAAAAAGCGTTAAAATTGTCTAATTTTGAATAAATTTGCATTGTATTACCGTGCTTTGACTGTTTTCAATCTTGCGCTGTGAATTCAGTGACGTAAGTAAATCGCGTATACGAAGCATAAGTTATAGTTATTGAAGAGAGAGGAAACCATTTTCAACGAAACTATCTGAATAACTATAACTTATGCTTCGTATACGCGATTTACTTACGTCACTGAATTCACAGCGCAAGATTGAAAACAGTCAAAGCACGGTAATACAATGCAAATTTATTCAAAATTAGACAAATTTAACGCTTTTTGTTTGTTACAACTACAGTTATTGGGATTCCTATTGTACCAACAACTTTTAAAATAAGAACTCGTTTTTGAACCTGCAACCTAAACAACCTTATTAACAATAACTACTATAGTTATACTAGAACATATTTTGGATATAATCGCTGGTGCTGACAATGAGCGGGATTACAGACTCAAACCTTTGCTAAATAAATCAAAATCGTATATTAAACAAAAATAAAAGTACTTACAATATTTTTCATCAAATTATTTATCTGTTCCTTAAGTTCTCACAAATCCCATCTGTCAGACAAAGTACATAGTTTCCTCCTTGCTTTTTCATGCATCAACAACAGACGACGTAAAAATTCCAATCACGTTTTTACAATTTGCTTGATTTCAGTAAACGATAAATACCAACGATAACTTTTCTTGACGAGAAAAACAGGCGAAAGCAGCAACCAGGCAAATGTTTCAATCGATATCTTCACCATTTTGCTGTTATCATAATTACCACTATCATTTATCCACCACCATCAATTATACTCACCACTTTTATAGTCTTAACAATCATCATTATTTATACCATCATAACCGCCCTAAGTAACAAAACCACGACCTTAACTATTAGCATTTTTAACACGATTGTCACTATCACCTCTATCATCAACACCATCACAAACACCAATATAACAAAAATCACAATATTGCAATAATAACCAACCACTATCATACACTGCTATCTTAATCATCATCACGACCACAGTCATCGTCGCAATTTTCACCATCATCATCATGACATAACCAACATCACCATCAGTAATATTACGGTACTATCATTTCTAGATCACCACCTATGATCATTACCACCATCACCAACACCATCATGCGACTGACTAATCTTTTTTCAGAAGCATTCCATCTCACGGTCATGATCTCATGCAAGGTAAGAAAAAGCTTTGTTTCCTACATGATACTTGACCAATGGTCAGAACCTGTAACCCCGGGTAGGGAGGCGAGGGAGTACTATCACTTGCCCAAGGTGAACTCCCTGACAAGCGGAGGGAAGGAGGTATCTTACTTCTCCATTCTAGACTGGCTCCAAGCAAAGTCTAGCCGCTGCCCAGAAACATCGTTATTTAAACGTCCTTGTTGAAAAAACCTTTTCATCATCGTTCAGTGCGTAATATACGGTATATTAAACGTTCATACGTTGAAATCGATGAAGACGCCATTCTCGTATTTAGCAAGCTTGTTCTTCGTAAAGTACAAAACTCAGACTTAACAATCCGCGCCTATTATACCCGTGAACTGAATGGCCACCTGTCAGCTGCCTCACGTTTCATGCGGGACAACAAAGGGTCTTGTGGAATACACAGTCGAAGAAACTCCATATTGCCATTCATCGTGGAAACTCGAAACTCCATATTGCCATTCAACGTCTAACTTCGAGCTCCGCTAAATTTTAACATTGTTGTGTTAAATCTTGGCTCAATCTTTACGCGATCTGTTACAAATTTACTGAAATTAGCGGCTATTAAACTTGTTTATTCTTAAACAAGCTTAAATCCCTACAAAAAAAAAACTAATTGGTTGAGAAAATTTAGACGATTCGTCGAATACATTCACGTGTAAATCGATATCAGCCGAAATGAATCAAGAAATCAAAGGAGGAAGTCTTATACACAACTTGTGTCTTAATAGCAAGGGGAAAATATTATGGACAGGGTCATTTGAGGAACTACAAGCTTTCGTAGAAGAAACGTTGAACTTAACGGGCGGGAAATGGCTCTCCCCTGGAGGCGATGCTAAACTGTACCAAAATCAAGCGACAGCAATTAAGTGGTATGGAAACTCAAAAAC